CATTTGCGTGGTGTCAGCGACTGTATAAAAAACGGAGAGAACTTGTAGAAGTGGTGTTACAGTGAATCTGTAACCTGGTTTTAAGGGCTGTATCAGCAGATACCAGAAGACAAGGTTATCAGGTAAGAATCAATTAAAAACAAATAAGTGATGTCAGCTGACTGACAACTTGATACACAATGGGCACATATGTGAGGTTTCATACTGGCTGAAGTGGGTAATAAAACGTTTTCGTGTCCTTTAGTCTCCTTTGGGCACATGACTTACATTATTTAGAAACTCGAAAACTCTAAGAAAACATACACTTCATTATTGTGATAGAAAAGGATAAGCAGTTATCTCTTACCAGTACTACAGAAATGAATGATATATAGCGGAAAGTCATTATAGCGGAATTTTTATGTATAATACATTCAGTTGGTATGTTGAACTAGCTTAAAAGTATGCCAAACATTTCCACAATAATTGTTTTGCTGTAAGCACCTCATAAAATCTGTAAGCATTTCCTCGGAATGTACTCAGGAGACCCCTGAGATATAGAAGTTTAACCTAGACATGGGCTTGTTTGTGGCCCTGAGAACAACACTGATTCAAAGTTCAAGTCCCGTGGTACAAGCAGTGGGTCCTCTCTTTTTCAGAGGAGCACTAACTGATAACAACTGTTTCATACAACTAAGCTTGACCTATTACTTCATATGCCCTTCATAAAACAGAATGAGTGTGGAACATTTAATCTTTATGTGGATTTACAGATTAGCATTTACTAGTTTACTTCTCTTATTTTCTCCAGCTTTCCTTTAAAAGATCTTCACTGATTATCCTGACACCTACTGGCAAGGGCAGAGTTTATCCCAATCTACTTTTCCTTCCACAACTCTCTCAAATCAGACTTATTGAGGTATTTTAATTAACAATTAAGTGGCGATTCATTCAGTTTAAGTATTTACTTAATTTCTAGCATTATCACATAACTGAGGAAATGTTCAATACTCAACACGAGTAACCATTTGACATTTTGCACATAAATACTTGTTTGTTTTGATTAAGCAACAGATATTAAAGTCATTACATGGGCAATGATTTTAAAAAGGAAAACATACTAGGCATCTTCATTAAGATGCAGATAAGAACTGAATGACAAGAATGTCTTGGATTTGATTTTCTACTGTTTCCCCTGCCACAAACACAGAATGTCAGTTTGCAAACTACTTAGGAAATAAACTCAACTATATAAAGAGCAAATGTCTTAGCTGTGAAGGAAGCCATACCATCAGTTACATAATTGCAAAATTTATTTGATACTCAGTACCTATTCATTCTGATTAACTCAGGTTTGAACTGCGTTCTGAGTCCTGCATTTCTGTTGTTGTTTGTTTTGTTTTGTTTTGGCCAGAATACGGCATAATGAACCTACTACATCATAAATCATACCCCATGGTATTGCACCTGCAAGTGTGTTCGGTGAACAACAAATATCAGAATTAGTTTCTTGGGCTTTAGAAACTTGAATCTAGCCAGTTTTTAAAACAGTACACAAAAGATAACATATACAGTCCATCCCATTCAAAATCCTGCAAAAGATAAAAAGTTTTAAAAATAAATTACCTAATTAACATTTTATCTTCATTAATATCAATGAAATTAGGAGTTTGGGCTGCAAATGTTGGCCTCAAAACTATTATATTTTGTAATGGTTACGAGTAACCAAACTATTTTTGTCATGTATTTGTTATCCCTTTACTTTATACTGCTATAATTTTGTGAGGAGAAATCAGATATCCAGCAATGAAAGCAAATGTTATTAATAACATTAAAAATATCATAAATCCTGAATGCACGTTTTATATCAATAATTATCTTAAGATATTTGAGAAAAATACGACAGAGTTTTAATTTAGAGATGTGCTATACATTTGCCTGGTTTTGAAGACCCTAGAGAGAATAGACCATTTCAATTTTTTTAACCATTAGTTTGTATTATTATAAATGTTCTCCCAAAATCACATAAATTTAAAACAAAATGCATTTCAACTCTAAGGAAATATTTCAACAATAATGTCCATGAAAAAAGGTTCATGCCCAGAAGGGGAGGGGGGGAATTGTACATTGTACCATGACAGTGGATGACATGCCAAGATTTTGCATTAGTGTGAAACAGTCACAACAAGATACTTAATATTATCTTAATTATTACTTCAACATCTCAAAATCATTTTTAAAGGTTTCAACGGAAATCTAAAGTTAGCATGTATTTTTAAAGTATAAAATTAATGGTAATGTAAATTAGGTAATAAAGACATTAATATGTAATAATTTTTAAACACATAAAAAACTTATTTCAGCAAAATATTTCTATATTAGTATAATCATAGAAGCATAATGTTGTTATCTCCAATGAGATTGCTCAACTACTAATTTATGTTCACGCAGAATTAACTAAACACCGCCATTTGTTTTTAAAAGGAAATGTAAATACCGATGATTCAGAGTATTTAGGAAATGTCTAGACATTTTTAGACAGTGCCATTTGCTTAAAGACTTCAAGCACAAACAGCAGGCAAAGGGACAGATTGCATAAGATGTCACGTGCTTGCTGCAACTGTATGCATGTTATTGGATTTTTAGAGCAACCCATAACCATGAATAATTTAAGAGTTAATAAAATATTCAATCTGACTGATCCATTGGTTTAATTTTAAAATAAAAATAATAAAAGGAATTACACTCTCTTATCAAATCCCAGGCATTAATGCAGGAAATTGCAATCCACACAGGGAAACTACAATTTCTAAAAGGCATGCATTGGATAAATGATATGTGTCTGCGTGCGTGTGTGTGTGTGTGTGTGTGTGTGTGTGTGTGGCGGGGGAGGGGGGCGTGCAGGGAAATTCTAAGTGTTAGCACCAGCCTTAATAACTTTGTTCAAAGTTTAATGCTTGGGAGCTGTCATACAAGCTACACTCTGCCTTCTGCAGGGCTGAGGGAGAATAAAGTAGAAATGTGCAAGTTTAACATAAATTGCTCATGGAAATGGTGTTCTCCCCTAAATCCCTCTTTCCCTCTTCCCACAGGCTGGCTGCAAACAGAGAAACCTACTGAAGACTTTGGAGGGCACAGCTGCTGGCATTATCTAGGAGCCTGAATGGGGAGGGGGCAACCTCATCAAGGTAGGTTTGTCTGTCGGGGTAAACTGTGCCCCAATCCTGATACCCAGGAGGCAGAGCTCTGGGCTGCAGAGAGCTGGGATTCATCCTGCTAAGGGCTCCTCCACCTCCTCCGGAGGGAGAGGCTACAGTGGCCCAGCGGCCACACAAGCTGAAGGCGCCCACTCCTCCACCGCGGGGCTGGGGCAGAGGGTGGCACCTTGGAGGTGGGTGTGAGTGGGTGAAGGTGTGTGTTTTCCTGTTTGAGTAGGAAGAGAGGTGGGGAAGGGAGGAGGAAAGACTGAGTGCCTGCAGCTCCCCCTTCCTCCCTCCAGCTAAAGGATCAAAGTACAAAAGCCATTCAGACGGGGAAATAAGAGAAAGGGAAAATATTGGCAGTGGGAACACAGGCTTTTTCCCATCGCTGGGGACTCAACGGAGCAACTATGGAGCCATTACCATTCCGCAACCTTGTGTGGAGTGGTGCCTCTGCCCCATGGCTGGAAGGGCACTTTGCAAATGCCCACCCGCTGGGGGAATAGCCTCCTTCTGGGAGGGGGGACAAGGATGGGGGTAGGCCGAGGGAGGAGAGACAGGGGATAGCTCCTGGCAGGGCAGGGAGGGCAAGTGGCCAGGGATACACGGGCTTCTTGGGCGAACAGCCGCCCAAGAGAACACAATTTTCCTGCGAAACAAATGGATGGCCGGGTGCGAGGATGGATGGTGTACAATATTCATTCAGTATACAACCTCAGACGAATGCTCATCAACACATTTTCCATCCAACTATCCATTTTTAGAGGCGGAGCATTTTAAACCATGCAGGGCACTGGCTCTCCTGGAAGCAGCCTGAGAAGGGGCTGCCTGCATGGGGGGGGGGGGGGGGTGCAGCAAGGGGCAACCCTCCCTCCGGGTCTCCCTGAACCCACTGCTCCCTCTGCTCTGTTCCCTTGCCCCATTCAGCCCCCACCGGTGCAGAGACTGGTATGCATAAGGGACCCCTAGCAAAGGACCTGGAAGTCACAACTCAGCAGGAGACTTGTCCTGGTCCTTTCTTTTTTTTTTTTTCAACAGGCTGGCATATTCCACACAAATCATGGAAAGCACCACCAGGCCAGCTCTTGCAACTTTTCCTCTCTTGCGGGGAACACGAGGGTCATCTCGCACTGCATGATTTTCCATTCCCAGGAGTTAAGCTTGTGCAGGGGGAGAGCTGAGCGGAGCATGAGGCCCCTGGGATGAGAGGAGAGGTGGATTCCCCTGGGGGTTTCTGAAACCCATGCTTGCCTTCCAGGATGGAGAGGGGGAAGACAGCAGAACGGACTTGTCAGGCAGGTCTCCCTCTCCCTCTCAGCCCAAACTCCTCCGGGGATGAGGTCTGGGTTGCAAACAGCTCAGCCCAGATCCTTGCCAAAGCCCTGCACCCCAGGGGCGCACAATCACTTCGCTTTTCAACTAGAGGAGCCCAGGCCCACCCCAGGAAATGCCCACCCAGTGTGGGGTCCTCAAGGGGCTTTGGACAGCACCATCCTTTGCCGGCACTGCTGGGGGAGGAAGGGGGGTGCAAGCGGGCGCAGGAAGAATCCGTGGTGCCCAAGAGCGCCCTGCCCTCCAGCCTCCCTTCTTTCCTCAATCTCACCCCCATTCCGCACCCTCTTCCCTGCTCAACCCCGCGCACTTGCTCTGACTTTCAGAGCACTTTTCCAGAACTCGGGACTTGCCCCCTCCTCCGCGCAGCCCGCCGCCCCTGACAAGCCCGGGGAGCACCTCCAGCGCCGGGCACAGCGCTCCCCCGGGTCCTGCCCCAGCGGTGGCAGCAGCGCGCGGGTGGGGTGGGGGTGGGGGGAGACTCCTCACCTTTGCAGAACTGGGGGACCCAGAAGCTGAGCCCGACCAAGAGCCAGGCGGCCACCGAGGAGTGCTTCATGATCCCTGCTTCTTTGGGACTTGACCTCGGCTGGACCGGAGAGGCGGCTGGGGGTGCAGCAGGGGGTGCGGCAGGAGGGCACGGTCTCCGGGTCCAGGAGGTGGCACCGCAGGGCAGCAGCAACCCCGCCCCTGGCAGGGAATTCGGGAAGATGTCTTCTTCCTGCAGCGCTTCCTTCCACAAATTCTTGGAGAGGGCGAGAGGGAGTGGGTGGCCAGGGAGAGGGATCCGCTGCTCCCTGCGCGCTGGCGCAGAGGTGGGCGAGCTCGGGAGCTGCGGTCTCAGTGGCCCCTCCGTGCGGGTGGGACCCCGCCGGGGTGGGGTGCGGGAGCCCGGGCTCCGGGTCCCCCTCTGGGGCAATCAGAGTGTCTGCTCCGCGGGCAGCTCCGGCGCTGCTCTCCGGGCTGCTCCCCGGGCTGCTCTGCTCTCCGTGCGGGCTGCCGGCTGCTGACTTGGAGAACAATGAAGCGTGAGGGCGGGGAGCCGGCAGCCGGTGGCCAGAGCGCACTGTGTACAAACAGAGGCGGCGTGCGTGTGAGCCTGAGCCTCCCCGACTGGCTTCCCCAGCGCCCCCGTCCCCGTCCCCCCTCCTATCCTCTTCCTCCCTCCCTCCCTCCGCCTCCCGCCCCCACCCCCACCCAGTCCCCCCTCTCTCTGTGCCCCCGTCTGTCTGTCTCTCTCACTCGGAGGTGGCTCCTTCTGCTGGAAAAGGGAGACAACCGCAGCCACACCCTGGCACCTGCCACCGCCTCTGAAGTTCCTGCATCCCCGGGTGGCTGGTACCTTTCCAGCAAGCCCCGAGAGGAGATGCTGGGGTGAAGGGAGGCAGCTTTGGTGTCTGGAATCCTCCTGGTTTTTCAGGACTGACTTTGTAATGAACCACGTTAAGGATTCCCCCGAAAGTCCTTTTTTCAGTGCAGCTAGGAAAGGAAGTTAAAGAGGTTTTGAAAAGTAGCTCTTGGGGCACAAAGCTGCTGGAGAGACAGAACCCTGCAAAGTCAATTGTCCTGGATGCTCAGGAAATGTGACTGATGGAGCAGCTAGACTCTCATCAGCTCAGACAGGGCTGCTTTACTGTCTTTCTGTCTGCACTTTCCGTAGCTCTGGGGCTGGGCAGGGGGTTGTGGGCTCATATCTCTTCAAGGGGACCGAGGTGAAGGCTGGGGCAAGGGAATAGGACACATGCTTCTGTCTCAGATGAGAAATATGGGGTGAATCGGGGTGCCGTACAATGACAGATTCTTGAAGCCTCACTCAAGTGGATCAAATCACCCTACTACCCACAGAAACAGTATAAAGGGACTGGTTTGGGCAGTGAAAATAGCTGAACCAAAATATAGCCCCTGGCTTACAATAGTGCTCTCCTCTTTCTCTGATTAGAATGCTCGCTTAGTGTGCATGGATTCCATTTCGGCAGTTGCAGGTACCAAAATGAAATCCTTGTTTTGTTTGCTTCTTTCCTTCCAGAGAGGGTGGTAGGAAGAGAGATAGAAACACAGACACAGGAAAACTGAAGGATATATTCTTGAAGGCAAGGATATGAAAGGAGACCGGATGTCCTAGGAAAAGGATAACAGCGCATTTGGCCATGCAAACTCCATCTCCTTTTGCCTGCTTGGGTTCTTTAAACTTTAATTTCTACCTTCCTTTTGGAATTTGAAGTGAGATCAAGAATAAAAGATTGATGGAAAAGTATTATTATATATTACTATGGAAGAGTTAAAGTTGTACCGCTGGCAGATAAAAAAAATAATGGCAACAAATTTTTTTTTCAAAACAAGGTTTGTGCAGATCATATGTTTGGTGGGAGGGTAAAATACAATAATAGGCTTTACAGTTTATATTCAATATTATTTTGTATTAATTTCAGGTGTACAACATATTGATTAGACAATCATATATACTTTACAAAGTATTCTCTCTGATATTTCCAATACCCACTGGAACCATACGTAATTACAGCGTTATTGACTATATTTCATATGCCGTACTTTACATCCCATGACTATTTTGTAATTACCAACCTGGCATCTCAATGCCGCCTCCTCTTTCACCCAGTTGGTGAAAAGAATCATTTTTTAAAATGTCTTTGATAAGGGAAGGAGGGAGAATCATTTATTCCTTGTCTGTTTTCATGCTTAAAGCCACTGATGCTAGAATAAGACATCATTGTCCAGAGTTGCAGCAAAGAAGTTTTTTAGACAGGGATAGCACATCATTATTACTGAATTTTGAAAGTGTGCTTTCAGTCATGTTATGGCATGTCTACTATAAGGTACTTTTTTTTTAAATGAGATGTTTATTATTAGTGTGAAGGTATTATTTCTAAAGGTTAGTACTAAATCTCAAAAATATAAAATGAAAAACAGTGTCTCTGAAATGAGATATTATTTTCCTATTTAATTCCCATTTATTTCAACCTTTTTGATAATATGTTACCTTAATAGGCATGTTAGGAAGTCATTTTTTTTTTTTTTTGGCTACAGTATATGTTACTAAATTTTTTTATTTTTTTATTTTTTAAATATATATTTTTATTGATTTCACAGAGGAAGGGAGAGGGAGAAATAGAAACATCAATGATGAGAGAGAATCATTGCTCAGGTGCCTCTTGCATACCCCCTACTGGTGATCAAATGTGCATCCTGAGCATGCGCCCTGACCAAAATCAACCTGTGATCTCCTGGTTCACAAGTCTACACTCAACCACTGAACCACCACATCTGGGCAAGTTTTCTCATTCTAATTTAAATTCTTAAAAAAAAAAAAAAAAACAACTCCAGGAGAGCATAAAACTACATTAATGCATATTCTGTGATCAAATACCTGGAGTTGTGACTATAAATGCCATTCTTTTTACCTGGTAGACAACTTGTAATATGTGTTGCCAGTTTAATGCCTCTATTTCCAAAAGTCCCATTTCCAGTCTCATTCTGATTCATAGCCTGAGATCCATAGCTCCCTGTGCTTAGTTACCACCACCCCATTTTTTCCTCACTTATTGATAATGGTCATGTACCAACTGGATTTTGATTTTGAAGGTTGTAGGTACTTTACTTACCGTATTTTTCGGACCATAAGACGCACAAGTTTTTAGAGAAGGGAAATGAAGAAAAAAAGATTCTGAAACAAATAGTGTCCTAAAATATTTTATGTGCATTAAAACCCTACATCACAGTCATAAACACATGTAATCAACCCTGTAAAGTAAACAGCAGCATTTAGAACCATTTTAGAGCCGGGCAAGCACACAGAGACCACACAGAGCCGGGCAAGTAAAAAAACTTTTTTTAAAAAGTATATGTGTAGGCTATATTTGGACCATAAGACGCAGGGACTTTTTCCCCCCACTTCTGGGGGGGAAAAAGTGCGTCTTATGGTCCGAAAAATAAGGTAATTTACATTTATAGCACTCATTTCACTCTTACTAAATTCATCTCTAGCCTCTTCAGAAGTGGAATAGAAGAAATGTTAGAAGACCAAAAAATATAGGTTTAGTTTAAAAAGAAGAAAAAGTAAAATGACAAAATCCTGTTATGAATCTTTTAGCTCACATGAAATGCTAAGGGTCTTTTACTAATCATATATGATCCAGGCTACATTTTATAGCTTCTGCACATATGTACCTAAAATACTAAAAATGAATCTAATCATTTGAAGATAGCACTTCCCAGATACTTTCTGCAAGCTTACTTCCCCCAAGTTATTAATAAATTTCTATGGGAAAAAACAAATTTTGCCATGGTCCAATAATTTGGGTAAAATCGCGTATCAAAGCAGCATCTTGAGGATTCATGGTGAACACTAGCATATGAAACTTCGAAAGGTCCTGTGGTTATGAAACTTTCCCAGATGTGTTTAATCCAGAATTTTATAAACTTCTTTTTTCACTAGGACAAGTTTTTTCTCAGAACACCTGTTAACATATTGTACACTTACTGCTACAAGGAAAAAAACTTGAAAACAGTGCCAGAAAATAAAGCAGAATAAAGTATCAGCAAAACTAACAAAAATGGAACTGTGGAAAGTTTACTGATTTTCAAGAATTGTTATTTGCTTAGAGTTTGGATTTTGGAGCAGAACATATATGAATTGAGATATTGTCTCTACCACTATAACTTTTAACATAGGCAAGTCCATTAATTGCCAAACCTTATTATTCTCATCTGTAAAATGGAGTTAATAAAAGTACTAAACACATAGTAGTGATAGGTTATTGTCCCAAAAGGGCCTAGCCCATTAGTGGCTTCACAGTGATGATGATGATGATGATGATGATGATGACAACAATAGCGATGATGGTGATCATGAAGATGATGATGAAGAAGGAGAGAAGAGGAGAAAGAGGAGGAGGAGGAGAAAATGAGTAAGACAATAATCCCTTATGGATTTAAAAAAAAATTATGTCAATAACTAATTGTTTTCATTCCCCATCCACCACCTCCATTAAATTATCAAAAAATTTTAAACTCACCTTTTAACTTATCAAACAGTAAAAAACACTAAATATATTAGTTCTCATTATTTCTGTAATCATTGAATATATTAATAAGTAATATAGTTAATGATAATTTATTTTATCAAATGGTACTTGGTACTATGATTTTTTTTAAATCATTTCGCATTTAAAAACGTTCTTTTGCATTTCAAAAACTTTATTTTCTTTAATATCCAAAATGTCCTTGTATTAAACTTTGGATTTTAGCCTTGTGTGACCCAAAGAAGAAAATCCAGTCAAGTCCTGACCTGGGCTTCTGACATATGTAACTGTGAGCTAATAAATTGGTGTTGTTATCATCTGGTAAATTTGCAGTAACTTGTTAAGCAGAAAGGAAAAATTAATACAATAAATTACTGTATTACCCCTTTTTAGAGGGAAGGGATAACCCACGGAATGGTTAGGTAAAGTGCCCATGGTCTCAACTTAGTAAGTGCTGGAGCCAGTAATTGAACCTAAACAGTCTGAATTCGGAGCCAACCACACTCTACTGGCAGCAATCATGGCGGGTCAATGGTATATTAAACACTAAGCATTTTCACATGTAATACTGTTTACTAAAACATTCCATCAAACCTTATGAGGTAATTATTATTATTACCTCCATTTTAACTGTTGAGGAAATCAAGGATCAAAACTTAGAAGTAATTTGCCCAAGATTAAGACATTACTGAGGGATGGAGCCAAGAGCCAGGATCTGAGCCCTGATTTGATTCCAGGCGTGCATTTCTTAACCATTAGGGCATATTTACAAGTCACCTAACTTACTGTATGCATTTATATTTTCAACTGAAGAAAGTACAAGTAATTTTCATTTTTTTAGTGTAGTCTGCATTCTCTCTGACCTCGATCTATCATTTTAGAGTATACTTTTCTTGAATGTAGAGTTCCAAAACCATTTTTAAATTATCCAAAATATTTGCATAACTCAAAATACTTTTTGCATTGTTCTCCATAACACTGAGCTATTTTTTTTTCTCTATAACCCTCTACTCATGCTGATATGACTACCTAAAAGGACCTCTTCCAAATTTTAATATCTGAATTCGAATGTCCCCATAAGACCT